TTAGGGTTTCTTAAGCTGATGTGGACTAAAAATTACTATGGCAACCATGTCATTCGATTATTTGGCATTCTGTCCATGCCACATCAACATTTTCCGTCAGTGTTTAACGATCTTAAGACGACGTCACATAACGAGGACATTTAACGATACTCGATTACAAGTATTTTTTAATCAGTTTTCAAAAGTACATGTATTTTTCAGTAATTAAAAAAGTAAAAGTATTAAATTGAGATCAGAGAAAAATACAGATATTTTACGACGATTATCCTGATTATATATAAAAATACCGAAGATTCATATATTAAACATGAAATGATACTAAAATAAATACACATTGAATATGAGGAATAAAATAAACTAGTGTAATTAAAAAAAATTAAATACAATGAAATTAATATGACTCTATGTATCAATCTATGTATGCAAAAAAAAAAGTAAACTTTGAATTAATGTATTGTACGGTGTAGGCATAGTCTCTAACATTTATGTTCATGCTGTTTTCTTCCGTTTAATAGATTTTGAAAAAGTTGAACCCTCAAAGAGTAATGCGGAAAACTAATCAGTTCTATTCACTTGAGAAAGATAGTCAAGTACAACTCACTTTTTGTTGTAAGAATCGTACTTACTACACACACCCGAAACTCCCCCTGAGTTTCTTCCCCTCTCACAATGAATTCTACTGATCAAAAAACCTCACCACATAAATCACTCACCAGAGAGAAGAGATTTGCCCAATCGGTCTCCCTCTCAGACTCGCACTCACCAGATAATGAGAACACACTCACTTAACAAAATAGACTTAGAAATTATGCTCCTTCTCTCTACGCCGATCTGCAACTTGTGTCTTCTTTATATAGGCTCCTCCCTTAGCCTCAGATCTCCACGAATTGATTTGATAGACTTCTCCTTGATTCTTGTTGGTTTCGTGTCTATCTTCAAGATCTCATCTTTATCTCTTCAGCTTGACTCTATCTCTTCAGCTTTGACTTCATCTGAATCTTGTCAGTTGCATCTCAGATATCTTCGAGTTTGATCTTTGCCGAATCTTTCTCCTGAAATCTCTCAAAGTTTGTTGGACCTGCAACAAACTTTCAACAACCCAAGATACGTGCAAATATATGCACTAACATAGAGATTTATTTCGATTCAAATATTAGTTATTTTATAATTAATACCCCCTCGTTATTTTAATAGTTGATAATAGATAATATATTTTGTTACTAGTCATTTTAAATTTTTTAAAACAAAATTTAGATTTACCTTTAATTAAAACTATCCAATTTCAATTAAATATTTAGTAAAATTTCATGTATTATACGAAAGTAAGGGAGTATTAGTCTAGTTTTAATACGATTAATTAAATGTAAAAAACTTGTCAAATTTATTTTTAATCGATGTCAATTCATGTATATGGTTATATATTGTTTAATTAATTTGATTCAGTTTTATATAAAGAAACCGAAATAATAAATAACATGTTACAAACCATTATCATGAAGTTTATTGGCCTACCAATACAAAAATTCTACAGTGTCATGATAGCTTTTTGTGAAGACCAACTAGACTTGGGATTATCATATTATTACACCGTTCAAATTATAGATTTGGAAGCGTCTTAATAGAATTATGCAAAATAATCAAATCAAATAAACATAATTCATGGAATTACGAGTTTGCACAAACAAGCAAACCACAGAAACAGCCGCGACGAGGGGCATTTACGTCATTTTACAGGATGGGTTTTTCAAAAGAAGGTGTTGTACTTATGCTAACAAAATCATAATAAAAAGCAGCAAAAAAAAGAGAGAGAAAAAACGGAGGTGGACCAATCATGCCGTGTGCTTGGATGAAGAGGACACGATCTCAGCCGTTGGATCTGATTAGGTAGATTTCAGCCGTCGATGTGATTTGATTTCTATGGGACCCGCTTTTTAGAGTGGTCTTGTTGACCGGATTGACCAGAAGAGTGTGCGTTCACACACACGTGCGAAAGGCACGAGAGGGAGAGATATTCCGCTTTGCTGTGAGAATCCAACACATAATGACCTCGATTTCTTCACGATTTGACCAAATTGCCCTTTTTTTTTAAATCCCCACACGCTTTTGTTGTGTATGTGGTTTAAAACAAACACACTAGACATTTGCAATCCATGTAATTCTTGGGAGTAATTATGATATGGATTTTTTTGAATTTGGATCATATGAATTTATATATATATTCGTGTTAAATGGATAAAGTTTTTGGAGTTTTTAAAATTTCAAAATAAAAAATTTGATAATTACGATTATAAATGATGATAATTTTATCTACGTTGGTGGTATTTGATGTGTGTGTGAAAAATGTATGAAAAATGATTGGGGTGTCATTTGTCGCTTGTCCGTGAGGTTCCTAATTCGATTTAACCAGACGATAAAGAGAGAGCACAATTAATTGAGTAACTAAAGATTAACTTCATGACTATATAGATTAGATGGACAGAATGTTCATTGAACCTACTAACTAAAAAAAAAATGATGATAATTTTAAATTTTGGTTTTTTGATTTTAGTTATTGGTTTTTAGTTTTTATGTTATGAACCATGATAACTTTTGTTTTGGGGTTTTTGTTTTAGATTTTTGAGTTTTTATATTTTTTTATAAAATATGAGAATTCAAAAGAATGGGTTTATGGTTTTTACTTTGATTATAAATGAGGACAGTTTTTGTTTTGGATTTTTGGTTTTAGTTTTAGTTTTTTGGTTTTTAATTTATCATTTATCATTTTTATAGTTTTTACAGTTTTTATAAAACATGAAAATCCAAAAAAATGGGTTTATGATTTTTATTTGATTTTTTCAATAAAATAGTTTCCATTTTTTAGAAAAATCAAATCAACAAAATCTTGACTGTTTTATTTTGGTTTTTAGTTTTACACATAAGCGAGTACTCTACCCATTTGATTTTTTTTTTTAAAAAAATGGTTTTTTAGGTTTTTAAGGAAAACAAATATACCATCTTGATTGGATTTTATTTTGGTTTTTAAATTCGAAAATTCTGAAAAATTCTTACTATTCAATGTCTAAGATTTCGTAATTTAGTTTTCCTAAAAATTTGGAAAATAATTTAATAAAAAATAATTAAAATATCAAAAGTTTCATTTTTTTTCGGATTTACAAATATTATAAAATCAAAAATCAAATTAAAATTCAAAAACAAAAAATAAAATTATGGTCTTGATTGTAGGAAGTTTTTCGAGTTTTTATTAGTTAAAAACTCAAAAAAACCTCCGATGAATATTTTACTTTTTTTAAAATCCGATAAATCATTTTCTTCACAAAATCAAATAAAAGACAAAAACCACTTTTTTTTTTTTAAAAAAAGATTTTAGTGTAAAAAATCTGATTTGTTATTAGATTTTTTATTTTTATTAAAAAATAATTATATAATTTATTCTAAAGAAAAAATATCCATTATTTTAAAAATAATTTTGCACTACACTTATATATCTACATAAAGATAAGATTCTTATCATTTTTTATCATAATTCATATTTCAAAAAAGTTTATAAAAAAAAATTGAAGTATGTTTTTCAAATTTTATTGTTTGAAATATATATTATAGTTATATTGTAATCATCTTATATCTATAATATATACGTACACACACATATATATACATATACATATATACATCTGCCATTCAATCCCTAAATTCAAAAACTTAAAATAAGAACTATCACATTCGTTATCAATATTTATAACATGAAGCACATGAAGCTAGTGAGGTAGTTCACATCCCAACTAAAAGCCTATAGTCTGAATTTAACTCTATTTGCAACATCTTTGTAAAATCATTAATAGTTAATAATACATTAATACTAAGGCTTAGTGTTTTAACTAAATACGTGTCTTGATATTGGTGGAAAAATATATGTTAATTTATTTAACCAGCTTGGTAGGCAATTATGGTACGTAATATATATTAATTTATTTAACCAGCTTGGATAGGCAATTATGGTACGTAATCATACATTTTTGAGTGACTATCTATGTGTTTTTTTTTCATATAAGAAATACAAATGGCTCAAATTTCTACACAATCTAACTATACATTTAATCTAGAAAAATATTTTATTTTGAATGTAATTCTGAATTTAAAATAAATTACTAATTGACATAGTTTATGACATAAACTTTATGTCATTGTTTTTTTTTTTTAAATTTTAAATTTATTTGATTTTGCTCTTCTAGAGAAAAAATGTTACATGCATTATTTTGTATTTCAACAAAACATGCAACAAATAAAAGGGAGAAAAAAAGTGGAGACAAAACAAGCAGGGGTGGGTATAAATACCCGAAAATAGGTATCTATCGGATACTCTTGCAGATACCCGATTTTATGATACTCGTAATTTTCAAATCAAAGTCCAAATTCGGATTTTTTAATACCCGTGAATCTGAATTCAAATCCGGATAATAAAATTTTTAAAATCGGGTATCCGCGGATACCCGACTAGTATGATTATAAATAATTATATCTTATATTTATATAATATTTTTATAAAATATAATTGTTTTAGGTTAAATAATTTTATATTTTTTTAATATTATCTCAAAAACATTAAATTTATTATTATTTATATCTTATTATCTCATATTTATATCGTAATTCATCTATTTCTATACATATATCTTTATTTTTTGAAAATTTTATATATATTATTTTTTTAAATAAATCTAAATCCAGATATCCGCGAGTATCCGATCATTATTCCGGATTCCCATACTCCAGATACTCGTAAATCTCAAATTCTGAATATAAATTTTATAATTAAATATTCGAGTTTTCCGGAACTAAATCTAAATACTCTGATTTTTCGGATATCCGACCGGTGTTCAGCCTTAGAAACAAGGAAGAGGACAAATAAGGTAAAAACGGAAAGAAGTAGGGGTATAGATGTAAATTTAAGGGAAGAGGGATAATTGCAAAGAAATAATCGTATGGGCCAGAATGGAAAAAGATGAAGAGTTAGAGAGAGAAGATGCGACAGAGTTCATTAAGAGAGAGAGAGAGGGCGGAGATGGTGGGAGGTTAGCCCCCAAGCCAAGTCCGAAACCAAACCCTCCCAAAATTCATTTTTTTTTGTTTATTGAGTTCGATGTTAATGGGTATTCTTCGTCGCCATTGATTCTCTCTGTTTCTCCATCTTTCGCGCGCGATCTGTCTGTGTTCGGGTCATGGAAGAAGAGCTAGCCATGCTCAGACAGCTTATCGGTCAGCTTCAAGAGCTCTTGCACCTCTACGGCTCTCCTCCTCCTCCTCCTCCGCTGCCGTCGTTTTCTACGTTTCCTCCACCGCATACTCCACCGCTGTACGTTCTCCGACACCCGGAGGACCGAAACGGGTCAGTTCTTTCTGTGAACCTCTCCGATTAGATCTGTGTTTTGCGGTTTTAATCCCATTTCGGTCGTTCAATTCGCCGGGTTTTATTCCCTTTTTTTTTATCTGAATTTTCCGCCATTTGAGCTTATCCGATATTGGCGCGCTTTCCCGTCGCTTTTAGGGTTTTGTTCGTGGGTACTGCAAAAAAAATCGTTCTTTCTTGTCCTTAGGGTTAGTGATTGTTTCTAGGTTTTCTACGGGGCTCGGGAATTGCCCATCTCCGACCAATAGTTTTCCTTCCTGAGACTGTCGCCCTCTGTGTGAGCTTTGTGGGGTCTCATGTGGTTTGGAGAATCATATCTAGTCTTGCGTTGAATGTGAAGCTTCGATTGTCTTAATGCTATAGTTTGGTCGGAGGGTAAATATGGGTTGTCTTCTTGATGAGTGACACATCACATGTGGAGGTCTAAGATCACATCGTACTTTCCTAGCTTAATTAGGATCCATCATTCTGGAAAATGGTGAATTAGTTTGATTGCTAAAAGTTACATATGAGTGTGCTCGCTTGCGGCTTTGGTCAATTATCTTCTATTCTACTGTCATCCCACATCTACTGTCTTTGTCAAGTGGTCTGCTTGGGGTTTGCTTGATTTCTGGGACTGAACGTGTGGCTTCCTGTATTGTCTCTATTATTTTGAATCTGATGTTGTCAAGTGTCTTTTCAAGAAATGTGACTTGATGGTTGATGATCTTCACTTGAAAGTGCGTTGAGGGGTCATAACCTGCATTTTTTTTAATAATCCCCACCTCAATCAGAAGCTTTAAGATCCAAAGATCTAATTTTCCCCCCTTTAGTTTGTTTTTGTTAACATACTTGAATTTGCAGACGCAGTTTCAGTAGTTGCATGATTGAACTAACAGATGGTGTCGTTTTTTCTTCGTTATGACAGATGGTGTTTGCCCTGTATCGAGGAGGGTTCTGCAGATGATTGCTGTGATATCGTAATGGCAGCTGGGAAGAGGTCTGGGGTCTTCAAGATGTTAGAATCTGTCAAGTCTCCGCCTGCCAAGAAATCCCGGAAAGAACTAAGTCGAGGGAAGTCATCTACTGAAGAAACCAACTCAGACGAAAACATGGATCAGAATATCTGGCAGGAATTTCCTGAGGACCTCTTTGAAGCTATACTTTCCAGACTACCGGTTGCCACGTTCTTCAGGTTCCGCTCTGTTTGCCAAAAGTGGAACTCTCTCACTGACTCTGAGAATTTCTCTGAACGTTGCGCCGAGGTTCCACAGACCATCCCTTGGTTCTACACCATAACCCACGAAAATGTCAACTCGGGAGCTGTTTATGACCCTTGTTCAAAAAAATGGCACCATCCCGTCATCTCTGCACTCCCGAAGAGGACCATTGTTTTGCCAGTCGCTTCTGCAGGAGGTCTGGTGTGCTTCCTTGACATAGGTCACCGGAATTTCTACCTTTGCAACCCACTGACTAAGTCTTTCAGAGAGTTGCCTGCTAGGTCGTTCAAGGTCTGGTCTCGTATTGCTGTAGGGATGATTTTGAACGGGAAATCGACGAGCGATGGGTATAAAGTCATGTGGGTCGGGTGTGAAGGAGAGTATGAAGTCTACGATTCCACGAGAAATGCATGGACTAAACGAGGGAGTATGCCCTCCAGCATAAAGCTCCCGGTTCTACTCAACTTCAAGTCACAACCAGTGGCTATAGGAAGTAGCCTTTACTTCATGTTGACAGAGCCGGAAGGGATACTGTCGTACAACATGGTAACGGGAACGTGGAAGCAGTCAATCATCCCAGCCCCAATGCATCTGAGCGATCACACGCTGGCAGAGTGCGGAGACCAGCTGATGCTGGTGGGTCTGCTGACGAAGAACGCGGCAACATGCGTGTGCATATGGGAGCTGCAGAAGATGACACTCTTGTGGAAGGAGGTTGACAGAATGCCAAACGTATGGTGCTTGGAGTTTTACGGAAAGCACATTAGGATGAACTGTCTGGGCAACAAAGGCTGTCTGATCATGTTGTCCTTGAGGTCCAGACAGATGAACCGTCTTGTAACTTACAATGTTGGTACTAGGGAATGGTCCAAGGTTCCCGGCTACTCAGCCCCCCCTCGGGGTAGGAAGAGGCTTTGGATCACTGGTGGGACCGCCTTCCATCCGTCCCCAACCGCCACCGCTTGATCTTCTTTCCGGCAGATAGATTGTTGCTACTTCTGCCAACTGTGGCGGTGACCCTCAAAAGTGTGCAGCTTCCTCTCTCTTTAAGTTGTGTATTTCTTTGGAACGCAATAACGGTGTTAATGTGGTTGGAATTTTAAGATTAAGTGGTTTGTTTATGAATGACTTTTGTACAAACTCTGTGTTTTAATAACTTGGATTATGCTAAAACTACTCATGAACTAAAGTGGATTTTAGATTTCTTTGATGCCGTTTGATGAATCGAGGGCATGTGTTTTAAGATTTTAAGACAGATTTGTATAGAAAAAGAAAACAAAGAGTCAAAATTGTTCACAACATTTCAAAACAGAACTTTGTTCCATTTACAGTACTGCATTAAAAGGAAGAAAAACCATGAGAAAATCAAGGGAGACACGTGAGACAGACACTGATATCGTCAACATTTGAAAGTTTCTGTCTTCTGGTTTTGAGGGTTGCTGAGTTCATGCCATGCCTCCTCCCCCACTTGTAGCTGTCCTGATAATCTGGAAAAGAGCTGATGCAGAAGACAAATCCCACAAATCAAAATCTTGATCCTGTTTTCGAATGTGGAGCTATTTTAGGCATAATGCTGTCTGAGCATTATGACACCCACAATTCTGTGCGGGACAAAGAACAATGTGACAAATCTAGGTTTCGGGATTTGACTTAACACCCCCCACAACTCTGAAAATCGATGTCCGAATGCGCAAAAAAACCGAACTAAAACAAGGGCTAATGAGGAAAATTGTGTTTAGGTCAGGTGTTGGAATTTCTTTGATCATCATGTGGAAATAGAATCAGGTGATAGGTTATAGAAGTGGTGGTGCTTACAAGATCCAATGACAACGAACACGAAGAATCCGAGGAGGATAGGACCAACTGGGTAATCCTTTCCTTTCTTTGTGGTTGTTTCAGGCACAGCTCCTCTCTTTGTGATATTCTTTTCGAACTTCTCCACCTTCCTGTCCGCAAGCCGTCTCGACGTCGTCTGCAGAAACCTTATCCACCCAGTTACTGATATACATTCTACAACTTCTCAAGGCACAATTCGATTTAGGGCATCAAAATCAGAATTCCTATCTTGCCAGAATTACAGACATCCGATCTGCACAGCAATAGGTTCCGTTTTCACGTATCTACCCATAATACATGATTGAGGGGCAAGCAAGGTCAACATTGGCACCAATCGCCATCAAAACCAGTCTACTTTATACGAAAATAACGGTCAGAAATTAGTTAATCGAAGTCAAAATTCGCAATCAGAGCCTTTTGCAACACATCGCAACCAATGTCCCGCCAAACAATCCATGAAAATACAAGATCAGCCAAGCGAATTCGATATAGGAGCAGATCAGACCGGAGACACATGAATTCCGATATAGAAAACGAACTCCATAGCAAGATCAGCCAAATCCAAATCACGCAAAACGCGACATCGATCGAGATCGTACCATGCTTACGCCAAAGAAGAAACGCTTTCAGCCGGAATTGATCTGAGCGGAAGAAATCAATTGACGATTGCGAACCGAAAAATAAGAAATCCTTCTCCGCCTCGTCTTGCGCGTTTCCTAAATCTCTCGAAATTCTTGTACAAAAGGAAACAGTAATTCTAGTCTCACAGCGACCCATCGTCACAGCCATTTATGATTGGTTCGGAAGGACACGTGGCACTCTATTATTGGGCAGCCAAATGGGGACGTGCAGACCGAACTCTGGAGATCTCATGGTCGTTTTGCTTTACCGTGTCAATATTTTCGGGACAAATAATACTGATGGTACACGAGGTTAGTAATTAATAACTTATTATTGTAAATAAATTGTTTTGTACGCAATATTTTAAACACAATGTTTATATATAAAAATTTAATTACCTTAGAAAATGTGACCACAAACTTCGATCTATTAATGCAATTATGTAAAGTACAAAATGTACCATCTTTCTGGTGGACACATTTATACCATATATATATATATATGACAAAAATTGGATTTAAAACCAGTCTTTTTTTTTTGCATTGCAGTGTTGGGCTTCCTCTTCTTCCTTCACCCACCATTTACCGATTCTATCACATCAGCCCCAAACATTTGAAAACGATCAAACTAGTCCGTTAAAATTAACCGGGCCAATTGTATGGCCCAAACCCCCAGACAACTCTGACTTAGGAATCTTACCAAGGTTCTGAACGTTGGGATTTCCACTTATCATCTCAATTTTTTTTTTGTAAAAAATCATCACAAAACTTTTTTTTAAGGTTTCGAATAATCTCGCAATCTCCCACCATTTCCGATTCTTTAACATCAACACAAAAAGTTACAAAAAAAGTGGAGTTAGTCCAATGAGACGTAAGAGGATGAGAGCTTTGTTTACTTGAATATGTGTTGATAGGGGTGGACATTTCGGTCGGTGAATTTGGTCCGATATTAAAATCGAATTATAACGAAATCGGACCAATACTAAAATCGAAATTAAACCGAACCCATTAATATTCAGTTCTAGTTTGATGTAATTATTATACAACCGAATAAACTATGGTGGAGTCCACCGTTACTATTCATACCGACTTACTATTCATATATATTGTACTGTTTACACCGACCGTATACATGAACAATAACTTCGGGTTTTCTATAAATAGGTTATTTGGGTTCCTCCATTTGTACAATTTCAAGAGAGAGAATAATAAGAAATATATTCTTCTACATTATTCTAAAATACAGTTTTCGGTTTACAGTTAACGATCTAATATCCGGGTCATTAATATCTCTTCCAGTTTCATAACACGTTATCAGCACGAGCGCTCTTCTATAACCAAAGATAAGATAACTTATCTTTAATATAAATATTTTCGTTCTTATGATATATACATGTATTCATTGATACTTGAGTAGAATTAACCTCAAGCTATATATGAATACCAATATTCCTTATAATTAATTTATGGACGGCTATGCCGCCTCGATTATTATTCATGGACGGCTATGCCACCATTATTCATGGACGACTATGTCGCCTTAAATATTTATTCGTTATTGGACGGCTGTGCCACCTTAATTATTAATTTGGACGGTTTTGCCGCCTTAATTATTTATTTGTTATTGGACGGCTATGCCGCATTAATTGTTAATATTGGACGGCTATGTCGCCTTACTTATTAATAGACTATGGTGTTTATTTTTTATGGACGACAATGCCGCCTGAATTATTTTACTTCTGCACACGGTAATACTGCCACATATAAACAGTTATATTATCTAATCTATATAAATTAATAAATATTCATCATGCAAAATATTATCATATATAATATAAATTTATTGATGGTCATTTATACGAAAAAATTTTGAATTTAATAAAAAAAAGTGTTAGTAATAAAATTTACAAATAAAGTTTTATAAATTCTTTCATATATCGATAAATTAATTATAAATTATTTGTTTCTTCAATAACTAGTTAATTATATATATAGTATGATCAATTAATTTTACAAAATAGTTTAACAATTCGTTTTGATAAATTATTTTATGTATAGTTTTATGATATAAATTGGTAAAATCATTTATAAAATTTTCAAAAAATTATTTTTCTCCAACGTCTACATTTAAAAAAAATAAAAAAATCAGATTTTGTCTCATCCCCAATGAATAGGAATAATAAATTTTACCCTACAAATACACTCATCCATTCACTCAAAAACCTACACCAAATCATCTCATTCTCTTCTATTCTCCCACGAAAAAAAAATATCTCAAGATGAATTTCATCAAAATTCTCTTTGTTTTAGCAATTTTAACAGTAACGTTTAGTATTTTCTTCAATAAAAATCCCGATCCACTTTTGTTTTCAATTTGCGTTACGGTCTCTCTCGTTTATGTGTTACTAATTATAGCAATTTATATGTAATCATGTATTTCACTATGTTGCATTATCCATGGTAATGAATAAAGCTAATGTGTGGCGTTTTTTTTGTTTAGTCATAATGGCAAGATTGACAAATATTGAGTTCGAGGTCCTCAACATATCGAAAAATAATTATTTATTATAGCAGTTGGATGCAGAACTGCATCTCGAATCAAAAGATCTTGGTACCACCATTAAAGAACAAAATGTATCAAAAGAGAATAAAGCAAATGCACTAATATACTGCGACATCATCTTCATAAATCATCGACATATACAGCAATAATCACACCGTTTTTTGATAAATACACATGGTGATATATGATAATTTTTATATCCATTTTTCAATAAATGCTCACTCAGGCGTTTATACCACATACGTCCTGATTGTTTTAGCCCATACAATGATCGTTATAATTTGACAACACATAACTCTCGTGGTTTTGCTTTCAATGTTTCGAGCATTTTAAATCCTTCAAAGATTTTTATATAGATACTCGTGTCAAGTGACCCATATAAATAAACAGTGACAACGTCCATGAGACACATTTCTAAATTATTTGAAACTGTAAGGCTAATTAGGTATCAGAATGTAATAGCATCCATAACAGGAGAATAAGTTTCCTCGTAATCTACTCATGGTCTTTGGAAAAAACCTTGTGCGACAAGACGAGCTTTATATCTTACAATTTCGTTGTACTCATTTCTTTTCCACACAAATACCCATTTACATCCAACAGGATAAACTTCTTTCGGTTTAATAACAATATATCTGAATACCTTTCGCTTATTAAGCGAATCTAATTCAGCTTGTATCAGGTCTCTCTATTTATTCTAATCCAGTCTCCTTTAACACTTCGAAATAGATATGGGTTCTGGATCATCATTTTCATCAATTTCCTTTAATATATTATAAGAGACGTAAAAACCCCTAATGATGGGAATTCATTTTCATTAAAATGACAATCAGCAAAATGAGCTGGCTCAAGATATCGTATAATGGATGGCGAATCGTACCCAATATATATTCCAAGTCTCCTTTGTGGTCCCATTTTTGTACGTTGTGGTGGAGAAATCGGGACATATACTGCGCATCGAATATTCTGAGATGCGATATATTAGGTTCTTGACCAAATGCTAATTGTAATGGAGAATACTTATGATATGCACTTGGTCTGATAGAATCAGTGATGCAGCATGCAAAATAGCATGTCCTGACACAGAAATGGGCAATTTTGTTTTCATTATCAATGGTCTGGGAATAAGCTGAAGTCGTTTGATTAATGACTCTGCCAACCCATTCTGTGTGTGTACGTGTGAAACTGGGTGTTCAACATCAATACCCATTGCTACACATGGTGATATAGGATCATTTGTATATCCATTTTTCAATAAGTGCTAACTCAGGCGTTTATACCATATAAGTCCTGATTGTTTTAGCCCATACAATGATCGTTGTAACTTGACAGCACATAACTCTCGTGGTTTTGCTTTCAATGTTTCGAGCATTTTAAATCCTTCAGAGACTTTCATATAGATACTCGTGTCAAATGACCCATATAAATAAGTAGTGACAACGTCCATGAGACGCATTTCTAAACTCTTTGAAACTGCAAGGCTAATTAGGTATCGGAATGTAATAGCATCCATAACAGGAGAATAAATTTCCTCGTAATCTACTCCTGGTCTTTGGAAAAAACCTTGTGCGACAAGACAAGCTTTATATCTTACAATTTCGTTGTGTTCATTTCTTTTCCACACAAATACCCATTTACATCCAACAGGAGAAACTTCTTTCGGTTTAATAACAATATGTCCGAATACCTTTCGCTTATTAAGCGAATCTAATTCAGCTTGTATCACGTCTCTCCATTTATTCCAATCCAATCTCCTTTAACACTCCGAAATAGATCTGGGTTCTGGATCCTCATTTTCATCAATTTTCTTTAATATATTATAAGAGACGTAAAAACCCCTAATGATGGGAATTCATTTTCATTAAAATGACAATCAGCAAAACGAGCCGTAAAAACATCTTCAGTTTGTGGTTCAAGATATGGATGGCGAATCGTACCCAATATATATTCCAAGTCTCCTTTGTGATCCCATTTTTGTACGTTGTGGTGGAGAAATCGGGATATATAATGCGCATCGAATATTCTGAGATGCGATACATTAGGTTCTTGACCAAATGTTAATTGTAATGGAGAATACTTATGATATGCACTTGATCTGATAGAATCAGTGATGCAACATGCAAAATAGCATGTCCTCACACAGAAATGGATAATTTTGTTTTCATTATCAATGGTCTGGAAATAAGCTGAAGTCGTTTGATTAATGACTCTGCCAACCCATTCTGTGTGTGTACGTGTTCAATTGGGTGTTCAACATCAATACCCATTGCTACACAGTAATCATCAAAAGCGTGTGATGTAAATTCTCCAGCATTATCAAGTCTCACTTTTTTATGGATATTCTGGGAACTGTGCCCTCAATGTAATTATCTGGACTAAGAATCGGGCAAATACCAAATTACACGATGATAAAAGGCATACATGCGACCATATGCTTGAAACATCAATTAATACCATAAAATATCGAAATGGTCCGCATGGTGGATGAATGGGTCCACATATATCATCATGAATTCTTTCTAAAAATGATGGTAATTCATACCCGATTTTAATTTGTGATG